CGTAATATAAATAAGTAAGACTATAAATTGATGTCTTGGATTGGAAAATTATGAAAATATAAAATATAAGGAAAACTCAGAAAAATTTAAAATAAGAAAAATAATAAAAAACATAAAATCATATCCACATTGAAATCTAAATCAATTATGTTTGATTTTGTTAAACATATGCCAATTTTATGAATTTAAATTGAAGAAATGAAAGGAAAAAATGGAGTTATTGATTCTACAATCTCTAGTGACATGGATCCACATAGAGACTCCTGGTAAGCAAGAGAAACTACATGTTAACAATCAAAATAAGAGGATATTGTTATAGAATTGTCCACAAGGAGACAATTTATCTTTTGTATATAGAGGTCACAATCATTCACACTCATTAGATGCCAAATTAGATGGCTTGTGGTGAGTCACGAAATCCGAGAAATGTTTTTTTGGAACTTTGAGTATATTTAATGACACTCTTACAACCATCTATTTTGAAATATAAAAGACAAAAATGATTTTGACCTATATGTACAAAAGATAAATGTTCTCTTGTAGACAATCCCAAGTTCTACCTTTTGTTTAGTAATTCCATTTCTTATAAAAAAAAAAGTGAGAAATGCTTTTGCAAAAAAAAGAAAAAAAAGAAAAAAAAGAAAGAAGAAGACAGTGAGAAATGCTTGTTCCTTGAGCTAGAAGTCTTGACAAGGGTATAAAAAAAAAAAAAAGGTGAGAAATGCTTTTCTAGAAGATAAAAAAAAAAAAAAAAAAGAGTGAGAAATGCTTGTTCCTTGAGCTAGTAGCCTTGACAAGGGTAATATGGTGATTCTAATTTCCTTTATTTTTTTTCTCGATGGGTAAAAACATATGCATTTCATTAGATACAAAATGATTTACAAATATGGGTTGACATGCAGAATTCTAGATAATCAAGACTGTATAAAGAGGGATGGTAATGGGCTCGACAGCCCAAACTGAGCCCGGTAGACCCAACTTAGAATAGGTTGGGCCCAAGCCACTAGATTTGGTTCGAGGGCAGGGGCCATTGTCTAGGCTGGACCAGACCTGGGCCATAAGTTATGGTTTGGCTCGGTCCAGCCCTGCCATTTTTTAATTTTCTTCTCATGATTTTAGAAAAAATAATAATAATAATGTCGATGCCAGGCCAGGGGCAGCGATTAGGGTCCCAGACCGGGCTCGAGGCAGCCCTAGCCTGGCCCATTCCCAGCCTTGTCTATAAAGGGGACAAAAATACACGTATGGTCATTGCTCCCCTGTATTAATTTCCTACCATTACCCTCAGTAGTGCTCTTCAATAAATCATAATTCCCTTGTCTTTTGTGTTCAAACTTTCTCTACTCATTTATCTGTCTTCCATTTCCTGTTTATTCTGTTTAAGCTTGAGAGAGAGAGATAACAATGTTGAATTTATTATCTCAAAGTGCTTCTCTTTATACATAATGTTATTTCTAGGGTCCAAATTACAAAAGGTCTAACATCAATCCCTCAAAACTCTTTTTCTAGTCTAAATGACAATGAACAGTAAACTTAATGGTGGACACAATAACAAAAAGAGCATACACCATGGGATCATAACACCAAACTTAATGGTGGACACAATAACAAAAAGAGCATACACCATGGGATCATAACACCAAACTTAATGGTGGACACAATAACAAAAAGAGCATACACCATGGGATCATAACACCAAACTTAATGGTTGACAAGAAAAAAGCTCTGCAACATTTGTCAATGGCACTAGAAAGGAAGAGGGAAAGGAGCAGCTTGAGAGATGTTTGTCAATGGCACTTGAAGGGAAGCAGGTTGAGTGATGAGTATTATACAGGATTTATGTCTTTAGGGCACTGGACTGTGTTCCTGTTCAATTTATTTCACCTTCGCCCCGGAGTTTTAGGGTCATGGCGACTATTGGCCCCTGAACCCGGATAATCGTTAGTTTCGATCAATATCCGACCATGGATTGTGTTTTCCTCAAATAAATCTCCATCATAAACCTGTACAAAAGAGACAATAAATTTTTTCATATTCCTTAATTAAATGAATGATTATGAGCAAAGTGAATGATTATGTGGCTTTGATAGATGAGTTGCCCTTCACTTAGTGCAGATGTGCCAAATATTGGTTGAGTTAAAAAATAGTCGTGGCTATATGAAAAATTATACAATTAATTTTGATCATTGGATGTGAAATTGGACAACTAGAGTTGACCTCAAGAGTTTTTTATTTTTTGAATTTTGGGGTGTAATCTAAGTTGTTAGGTTTCAAATTTTAATTATAAACATTTTTGTAACAAAAACAAATAGCCTTATAATATGCAATTCATTTTCTTTAGTCTTAATTCTTTGAAGTGCAATATCAATAGTGATAGACATTCATGCTATAAGATACATTGCCTATGGTTCAAGAAAGTCACAACTAGCCATTAAATGCGAAGATCATGCATCCAAGTTTGTTTCAGTCTTTCTTTTACATAAAGTTCTAAAGTCATTTTATTGAGAACTCAGGATACAATTACTATCATTCTTCCATTAACATAATTTGATTGCTAAAAGTGATTGTGATTTTGACTTTTTTGTAATAATATTTATACTTAATATACAAACCAACGTATACGTGTACATCTTATACGAAGAGAGGAGAGTAATTGATCTACTAGAATGGACGGCCTGGATCGTTTTCCTGAAGGAAAATATATCCACCATTGGATCACACATATGACACTTGATCTACCGACAAATCTACACACATGTGCACATTGAGAAAGTCTTCCCTATGACACGTGTGAAAAATGTCGGCCATTTGGAGGACCAAGATCTACGATTTGACCAACTCTTAGATCCTGGCCGTCCAATTGGAGCCCGTTCTTGAGAAATATGAACCGTGAGATGAAGAGATGGTTCTGATCTAGACCGTCCATTTATTTATGCACATAGAAGTTACCTGCTGCGCCGTTTCCAGTACTGTAGGTTGGTCTTCTTCCAACAATGAGATGCTTCCTGGAAAGCCATTAATGAAATTATTATTTTTTCAATAATTAAGAGAGAGAGAGACCGATAACATAACTAAACTCTTTTCAGATGATGATTAGTGAGAGAGAGAGAGAGAGACCAATAACAAAACTAGACTTTTTTCAGATGATTGTCTTAGAGAGAGAGAGAGAGATTAAACATTTTTGACATAATTATATGAGAGAGAGCATTCCATAAAAATACTAATTACTAAGATCAGAGACAATATTTATCATGTAATAATAAGATCAGAGAGAGAGAGAGTCCATAGGAATTTAATTTAGAGAGAGAGAGAGAGGGAACTCCCTAATAATACTAAGAATCAGAGGAAAATTTTATCACATGGTACTAAGATCAGAGAGAAAGAGAGATTCCATGCAAATTAAACCATTAAAAAAAATTACAGAAAGAGAATCCATGCAATTTAATACCATCATTAGAGAGAGAGGGAGAGAGAGAGAGAGAGAGAGAGTAGTACTACGAAGTAAGAACAGTCTTAGAAGAGTAAGTAAGGTAGAACGAAAAAGAAAACGAAAAGACTACAGTAACGAGAGTA